GCTCTCCTTTAACTAAAAGATAAGTGAACTATAGGTTGTTAATAGGAAGCAATACAGATATGACACTTACATAATCAGACAAATTTTTTAGATAGGATTTAAACCGTAGGATTTAATATATAGGGGTAAATGTTACTTTGTCTTTACAAGACACTCCATGACTTCTCAATCTATGGGTCCAAAGATGTCAGCTCTCCGTTTCCAAAACATGGAAGACAACTATTACATTTTGTGACAGCGCAATTTTCCAGTGGCCTTCAAGGGAGCTAAACATGGAAGTTACAGGTCTGTTACTCAATGTTGCTTTAGGCACGTCTGAGTTGTTTTTAATCAGGGCCTCCAGGTATCTGTCATCATAATCTAGACAATATCCATTGACTCATTGTGTGTTTAGACTAGGTGAGTTAGCCGGCCAATCAGATGAAAGCATGATCATCACACCAGGCGATGGTGCTTTTGATAATGTTGGAAGGTGCCAAGTCATGATGGAAAAAAGGAAGCATGAAGTCCATTAAAATTTCCAGGGAAATCGCTATGCAGACTTAACAAAATAAAGTGGACAAACACTAGCAGGTAATCTATATCACGACACCACATGGAAACTATAGTGGACCAGAAGCAGTGTCGATTCTGTTTACAAATAAAAAGCTAACTTTAATTTTCATTTTACCAGACTTTGTACCACAGATAAACTTTCAAGTTATGTTTTTCTTAGCCCAGGTAAAATGTCTCGGACATGTCATTTGGTTCAGGAATGACTTAATGCAAAGAACATGACAATTGGAGTTGATTTCTTCATACTTCTGTTTTCCTGTTGTTTTTGAAGCTCTGACTCCAGTGGAAATCCATGCCTGTTAACCTTCCCAAAACCTTTAAATAACCAAGGCTGCAATATACCTGCTGCCCTGACTCTATTTTTCTACCACACTTTTTTCTGCCAGCAAACTTTCACTTAATAAGCAGCACTTTGAGAACAATAGGCTCACTTAACAATTAGATTGCTCCTTTAAATGTTCAATCTCCCATAGGATTTAGCGTATTATTCTTATGTGATACTGTGGAAACTAAAATGCACATTTTCATTTCAAGTTATCTAAATTAACATAAACTAGCGATTAAAACACGTCATACAATACATCTATGTCAGCTTCATGTTTTTCCTTGAATTAATGAAATAACTGAAATTTGGAGGATATTTTTATATGCTGAGTGATTCAGCTAGAGAAGGTGGGTAAAGCCTGGACAGGCTGTCAGCCATATCTGTAGCACAAGGCCCGTCACTCCCCTGCTCCCTTCTTGCATAACGCTCCCTAATTGCAAATGCTCGACGTGTGAAGCTGATGGCGCCCAGGAAAAAAAAAACGTGAATCATTTCGTCCTGGGGTGAAGGAACAAATGAAACAAAATCATTAACGCAGAGAGGAGAAAGAAAACATGCGCGCAGTGTACCGAGGCGAGCGTTTTATAAAATGGACCCCGGAACCTTCTGCTGCTGCTCTGCTGGCGCTGTCCGTTTCAGCACCGCGCCAACGCACGCGCACTAACACGTGCAACGCGTGAATGCGTAAATTGGGGGAAATCAAAACCAAGCTGTCCTTAGCAATAAAATACCACTCACGCTGCCTGAATACCTTCCTGTAGATTTATTCTTGATCTCACAAAGATTGATCCATACTAGATTGATCTGATCACATTCTGGGCGTGTTTTACGCAAAAAATTGACATCCGTGCTGGAAGTGTTTCCTAAAGCAGATCCGTTAAAAGATGGGCTTCCTTACGAGATCTTTTTGTTTAATATTTTATCTCGTAGGAAAAGTCCTGGTCCTCTTGTCAGCTGGAGGTGATAATGTGCAGAGAAGTGGCCCGCTCCAACCGAAGCGGCACTGCTGCAGTGGGTGGTTTGTATGTTGCAAATGTCACGCTGAGAGACACGGGATCGCCAAACTCCCGAGTTGCCTTCATTTTTTCACCCCCAATCAAATAAGCACCAATATGACCTTGGAGCTACTCAGCCTTAAAATGTATTAAATCTGATGTGGGTTGTTTTTTTCTCGGTACATTCTGTGCGTTTTTGCGCGCACAGCATCTGCACCACACCCGAGGAGCCATGTCGACAACCAGATCAATAACAGTCTATATGTGCAGAAAAAAAGGAAATATAAAACAGAAATGGAGAAAATGAAGCTGAATACATAGCCTATCCCATAAGAGCAGTCACTGCCACACCAATATCTCCCGTAGGATCGTACATTTCTTCACTGTCATCGCAATACTTACATTTCCTTCTTCTCAAATCCTTCTGCTTTGAATCCATCCCCCGGAAAAAACAAATCAGAAAACGCAGCAGTACAAGTAATAATAATAAAACAACAGCTTTTTCGTGCAAGCTGCACCCAGAACCAGATCTCACTTACAAATCATCTTCCTTTCTCATCTAACTGCTCGACGGATTCCTGCATTTCAGCACAATTTAATCAACCCTAGAGATTAAATATATTATTTCCTTTAGCTCTGGTGCAGATGACAGATATTCACAGGGCGCAGACACCCTCTTCCTTCCAGTTCCAAAAAAAATGTATAAAAAAGAAAAGACGCGGAGCGGTGATGAGGTCTGCGACATTCAACCAGCAGATGGGAGGGAAAAAACTAACCTTCAGGCCCGAGTCATCCCAAACCAGCTGCAAATATGAATGATACTCACTTTGCGACGGTTACAGTGAATCTGGGGAGTCGGTGCAGGACTGCAGATGTGGGAAAGGTTGAGAAGAAACTGCGGTTGTCGCCATATTGTTGCTGCTGTCTTCTCCCTCAGTGAGAGCAGCTTCCCTGCATAATTGATGACTCTCAGCAGAATGTGAGGGAGTGTCGGGGAGTGCGCCTCGGTTTAAAAATCCTAAAGGTCATTCAGGCCTGCACTTAGTGCAAAAAACCCCACAGTGCGTCTGATTATCCCCATCAAGAAGCGCACTGCTCTTTTTTTTTTTTTTTTTTTTTTTTGACTCTCTGCAAGTTCAGTGCAGGAATTTATCGTTTGTGGGACACATGACTGATGCTCAGAGGAAATAAGATACTGGATATTCTTCTGAGTGCAATATTTACTGAAAAATGTATAATTTGTTTTAGTGTTTTAGAGCTATAACTTTAATACAGTTTGTCAAATAAAACTATACAGCCGAGTATTTATTTTTTGTAAAAAAAAAAAAAAAAAAAAATGCTTTTATTATCTATCTTTCATTAAACTATCTTATGAAAAAAAAAATTTGTGCAAGACACGTTTAAAACAGTTTCTTTTCATTGGGCTATTTTCCTACCTGGGAGCATTACCAAACCGTTGAATGTATGACGTCACGAGGTTAACTGTTATGGTTTAGATTTTGTTTATTTTAATGCGTTGGAGGCTAAAACAAAATGATGGATGTGAAGTTTGTCGTCCTGTTTGTGAGCGTGGTGTGTTTGACAGAGACAGCTCCAAAGCAGCAGAGTAAGTAGTAAACTGGTAACTAGATCTTATGTGATTCTACTTTTTGTTCGCTGTCACTTTATTCTTTTTCTAAGTAGTAAAGAGTGGACGTTGATCACCGGACATTTCTATGGCCGTTACTGCATATAACTGGTTGAACAGATTCATTTAACACCTCTAAGCACATGGAAAGCGAACCCCAAAGATGAAGCTGAACTTGACTAGTTTCTGTTAGTCTTTCTGTTTCCCTTAATGCTGCTCACAGATGTTAAAATTAAAATTAGGTAAAAATTATATTTGGGCTTCAGTTGCATGAGTATATTTAAATGTAAAACTCCCTTTTATTTTAAAAGAAGAGCAGATTCTTGTGTTGAGTTTGCATAGATCTCCATTTACAGCCACTTCAAACAGACAGACAGAAAAAAAAGAAAAAAAGTCCATATTTCATACCAAATGAAATTTTTATCTCCCTATTGTTTGCCCAAACTCATTGCCCTCTCAGTTGTAATATGGGGATTTAATCATTTACATCAATTCCTAATCAATAAATGATGCATGATATTCAACACAAAGGCTTATATTTGACATATTTGATGACTTAGAGTTATTCCAAATTATGCCTAATCAAGCTGGTTTATAAACTAACCATATGTTGTATGAGCTATATTTCGAAACATTTATAATTTTATAAGAGAAAATGTGTTTTCCTCTGTATCTATTTAACTAATTCAGGAAGTTCAATTAAATTTCAATTCAGTTTATTTGTATAGCACCAATTCACAAAATGTCATCTCAAGGCACTTTACAACTCACCAGATCATAAAGTCAAATGGATTCAAAGTTTTCTATCTAAGGAAAACCAGTTGATTGCATCGACTCATTGACTCAAAGGCAATCCCTCACACTAAGCATGCTTGTAGCGACAGTCGAGAGGAAAAACTCTCTTTTAATAGGAAGAAACCTCCAGCAGAACCAGGCTCAGTGTAAGCGGCCATCTGCCGAGGCCGACTGGGGTTCAAGGAGACGGAAGCAGAGATACAAAAAGCAGCTGTAAAAGGCGGCCCCGTCCAGGAAACACACAGCCAGGCAGACGAGCTCCGAGCCAGCTCCCATGCCAGAGGATGAAGAGAGCACATCCAGCCTGTCACAGTCAGAGAAACAGGACTACACTGGAAAAACAGGCCGATCTCCAACATCTATAAACAAAGGTGTTGATTGCAACAGCATAGCTGATATTTCTCTCCTGGATGGTGTCACAGACAAACAGGAACAGACGAGGCGAAGCTACTATGAGACAAAACAGAGAGAGCAGAACGTTAGAGATTGAACTAATAGATTGTGCAGAGTGGGTGAATACAGATAGAATGAAACAGAATGATGAAATAGGGGTCCTAAGTAAGCGGAAAATTATGAGTAATATTTAAAGATGTAAAAGAGGATAAGAATGACCTCACTTTATAACAGCATCAACATGTTATAGTTACAGTTTTCATACAGAAGTTTTATTTGATGTTGTTGATCAGGCTGCGGGCAGCGGTCCATGGTCGGCCCACCTGGACTGTCTAAGATAGTCGGAGGCCGAGAGGCTCCTGAGGGAGCCTGGCCCTGGCAGGTCAGCATCCAGATACTTTCCAGTCACCACTGTGGCGGCACAATCATCAACAGCCTGTGGATTCTCACCGCAGCACACTGCTTCAACTTCCACAAGTGAGTTTAATGTAATCGCATTCCGTCTGCAGATAATGAAAGCGGAAGAGAAACAATTTAGTGATACAACTACAAAGTCCTTTTAGAGTATTTTGAAATTTTAGAAATGTGTTTTCTCCTGTATCTAATTCTTTTCAGATTTCTCAGCAATGATTATTTCCAAGTGGTTATGGGACTTAATGTGTTTTCTACACCTGGGCCTCACACCCAGACACGTTCCATCAGTAAAATCATAATGCATGAAGACTACAATGAGTTCACATCCGACAACGATGTGGCTCTGCTGCTGCTTAGCTCCCCCCTCAACTTCACAGATCACGTCCAGCCTTGCTGCACTCCTCATAACATGAGCCACGAGGCTGCCCTCAACCTGAGCTACTGCTTCATCACTGGATGGGGAAGCACCTACTTCAACGGTTAGTGCTGAGACTTCATGTTGTCTTTGAACTCAAACAGCCACTACCTTATATATGAAGCATCTGGTTCTTTCATATTTTATTAATAACAAAAAAAAACATTTAATGCCTACTATCAATTTGTTTTATTCAAGATTAAAAGCAGCATATATTAATTTAGGACTTTAAACATACAAGGTCAATGATGATGATTATTGCTGCTGTTGTTTGTGCCAGGTGAGCCAGTGGACAGACTGCAGGAGGCTGAGGTAGAGCTCATCAACAGAACCAGATGTAACCAAGAAACCTGGTACAACGGCATCATCACAGAAAATATGATCTGTGCAGGACTGGAGACAGGGGGCGTGGACACTTGTCAGGTTAGGTTATTATCATGCTCATTTCCAAAGCCCTTCTGCTGCAGAGTAAAACAGCTGTCTCAATTGTGGTGTAGGGTGACAGTGGAGGTCCACTGCAGTGCTACAGCGAGAAGGAAAACAGCTTCTATGTAGTAGGGGTGACAAGCTTCGGGGAGAAGTGTGGACTGCCCTACAGACCAGGAGTGTATTCAAAAACCAGCAGGTTTGCAGACTGGCTCAAGGCAAATCAGGAGCAAACTAGAGCTTGTGCACACAGGCTGAGCGGGGGACTGATCACAGCTCTGCTCTTTGCTGTCCTGATGCTGCTCTAAAACATCCTCTCTGTCTGCAGAATCATTAAAACACAAAGCAAACAAAAGCTGCATTGGTGTTATTCTTTTATTTATGGGAATGGAAAAGAATAAATATTTGTTGATTAATTTTAATTATTATACATATTTAAAAGTAGCAATAATGGTAAATTATAATTTGTCACAAATAAAGAGCTCCTGTTGGCTAGAATAGATTGTTGTCTTACTTTCTATTATGCATTTTAATATTGCAATAGTATTCACAGCCAGTGACTTTACCATGTGGAGGCAGCATTGGGCTTCCTTAGGGAAAGTTTCACACAAATCATTAATAAACATGCCCCTTTTAAGAGATTTACAGTAAGGTTTTCCATTGAAGTATCATATATTATTCCTGAGCGATATTCAGCCAAGGTAAAGGAACGGATCACAGGTTCTACCTCAGACCAGCTTTTCTATCATTCAAGACAAACTGCTTTAATCAGCATTTTATTACCTCCTGGCTCCTTGTTTGATTTTGCTTATTCTATATCTGGGAAACATAGTTTGATGCCATTGGTACAGTTTTTGATTTTTAACCCTTTTTTTCTCTTTTTTTTATTAACCTGTTTATGATTTTATGGCAATTACTCACACCCCCAAATGCAAAAAAAAAAACAACAAAAAAAAAAAACTTCAAACTAATTTTAACTGCGGTCATTATTTAAATAGACTGCTGTAAGTGAAGTTGAGCCCTCTAGCCTTTGTCACTGTATTTTTTCTTTATTATTTAGTTTTATCTTTTAACTACTTTAAATGTATTATTGGGATACATAGCTACCTTTTAATATCAATATTTTGTAATGTAAACTGACTTTAAATAAAGTATTGAAGAAAAAACAACTTTTTTATTTTTAAGGGAGCAAAAACAGTGACCCCTGGTGGTGGAAATGTGGTATGTCTCTGGCAAGAGACAAAAGCTCAAGAAAAGCATCAGGATAGAAAAAAAGAGGGGAAAAAAGCAGAAGAAAGTTTGACAAAGCATTTTTATTTGACATGAAACACATCGAATGACAGTGTGACATTGTTGTTTTTTTCCAAAAGACATGTTAGAGGTTATCGCACCACTGACAAGTCCAGAATGTGGTTTTGCTGCAGCTTAACGATGCATCGTGGACAGACTGTTGTTGAGGTATACAGACTGGTCTTTTTTCTTTTATATAGATTTGAGTGAAATGATTCTTTTTCTTTGCAATCTCTACATTTTGTGCTTAGAACAACTGTAGGGTTGAAATGTCTTGGAAGTGAATATTAAGGTGAAAAAAAAAGGCAGATGTTACAGGTTGCATTGTTTCTGTTGAGATTTTGCATCAGCTCTACAGAGCTTTGAAATAGTTAACGTCTTTAGGACCTTTAAGGAAATGTTAACCTCCACATCCAGAAATGAGCCTTTTTGCAGTGACACTGAAGGACTGAAATCTGTTCACGGCACCTTATTGAATAGCACCAAGGTCTATTGAAAAGGCTTGAAGGCCAAAGTGAAATTATAAAACTTTATTAAAAGTCGTTGTAGTGAAACAGTAGCAACAAAGCAATTATCACACAGTTATTCATGAGTAACCAAACGACTGGCTTGCGTGCATGTCCTCTCTGAAAAGTGGTCTGTGCCGCTGCTAAGGATTCAGTTTGCAGAGGTTGTGCAGCTCCAGATGGAAAATCGCATCAGAGGGGAAAACCTCAGTGAAACCCCTTAACAAAATATATTAAATTCAAAATATGGATGGGAAGTGTAAAAATACAGTGGAGGCGACATAAAAATAAAAGAAATAATAAAAAGAAAAAAAAGAAGTTCAATATTTTGGGATTTTTATAAAAGATGAACCTTGTTGCACCATATTAGCCAAGTATCATTAAGACACACACACACTCACACTCTCGGGGACACGCCCACATACACCTAATGATATTGGGAAAGTGCACATTGCTCCTGTCCATGTTCCCTGTCTTTTTCAATGAGACGTAGTTCAACAAGCAATGCAGAAAAGAAATGCTGTCAAGTATGAAAGATCAGTCAAGTTTTTATCTACAGACTCCATCTGCATGTACACAGTAACACTAGTAATACAGTATCTCACTTCTAAAATACAGTAAACAGACAATTTTAACCCTTATCTATTTTTTTCCTTTACTGCGGTACTTTTTCCTTTAAAGAAGTATTTGCCCATTTTAAATGCATTTTTAAATGCAGCTTTCAGGGATTTCTAATTTTTTTCCCCCATCAGTGTTACAGACATTCCAAAATAATTGGGTTAGATATTGATTTGAATTTTTTTTTAAAAGAAGCAAGGACTATAAGGTTAACGAGAACAACACACCCTCTTTCTAAAAACAATTTTAAAAAAAGCAGATGCCTGCTTCTGGTTTCCTATCGCAAGCAATTCCTTACAAAATAGGGAGAGTAGCTCCACAGGTTTTACTAAGGCAAAGATATCTCCACAATTCTTGCACCTTTACTCTTAAAATGTGATATTTTATCCATCAGAAATGTCTGAGAATTAAAAGGCACTACTCTGCCTTCAGATCATCTACATGTTTTTAATAATCTGTAAATAAAAACAGCTAGGATTACTGATTTACCTCTACACTCTGCTGAAAGGTTGTGGCTCAAATGAGCACCTCAGGCTTAACCCAGCAAAAAAAAAAACTATCCCGGGAAACTAGTTAATTAAAACTAAAGAGAAATATATATTTTAATAGATTACATCAACAAAAGATGTTTTGTGTCATGAATATTATGTTTTTTTCCCCCTAAAAATAAAATTAGTTTGTGCCTCTCATAAGTAACCACTGCTGAAACAAGCTTCAGATCCTAAGAAGAACGAGCAACAGGGTGAACTGAAGGATCATCTATTGAAAGCAGGCCTGCAAGCCACTAGGAGGAAGTGCAAATAAATCAACTTTTACTGCTGCATATCAGCAAGGCAGCCATATTGGATTTTTTAGATTTAAACAATTGAGGAACCTAATATCTTTCCACCATTTTTCTGTTGGAACTTGTATTTCTTTGTCTCTTTTTCCACAACAAATCAATTGCTTTTGTTTGTAACACACCTCAAATGTGCTCTAAGATCAGAGCACAATGATGAACCAGCTTCTGAGCTCCTGCTAGAGCATCTGAAAATATTTTATCGCTTCTAAAACACAAAGTCATAATTAACACAGAACCTGGGTTTTGTGTAGGCATGGGTCAGATACAGATACCAAAGTATGCAATGGTTTTGCAAAAAATATGATTTATCTATTAAGGTCTTAAAGGAACTGTAGGGAAAAATGTGAATTACTTTTTCTATGCCTGTAAGGAGCACAGAGCAGCAATGCACCTTTGTCTTCCATACAACAACAAATTTGCTGTATGGAAAGCCTAAAACATTGATGGTTAATGGTCGGTCAGCTGTGTGCAGACTAGCTACTGCATCAGAAGTAACTAACAAGCCAGTATCTACTGGTTTTATTCAGTGTTACTATAAAAAGACTGCAAAAAAAAGTTTTTTGGAGCAAATTCAAGTCAGTTTAGGATCACAAAAAATTATTGTAAATCAGTATTTAAAAAGATCTACATGTCTAAGTATACTGAATCTGCTGCATTTTCCTTTAATGTTTTTATACCATAGGAATTTAATAATGACCCATGCCTAGCTGGGAATTAGTAATATCAGCAGAGCCTCTGATGATCCTTCTGCTCCAGTAAAGTTGAATATGCATGGTTACATGGTTGAGAAGAAGATAATCTTTAAAATCTGCATATTTTTTTCCCAGTGTCCTTCAGTCGGTTATAAAGGCTTGATTTTTTAGTAGATATTCTTAGGATTTTGTGTTTCTTTATAGTTGCTGATGAGAGGCAAAAACATGTGCTATATCTTAAACTGTCCTCCTGATGAACCAATTAGGACATGTTGGTTTATCTGTTATTAAATCATTTCTAGCAATCTGTATGCAGATATCTGCTGCACCTCCAGGTCGCATGCACACCTAAACTCCAGAAATATCTGCAAGTCCTGCTAATATTTCTTAAAATAAGGTTATCAAAATGATCTTATCTACCTTAGCATGTCCTAGCACACAAAAAAAAAAACAAGAAAACGAAGAAATCCGTTTTATATTCACCAATTCGTTCTTTTTTTTTTTTTTTTTTTAACATAGAGGTGGAATCTAAGTGTATTTTTAGGACTTTTTTGACAAGTGAAGGCCAAAGCTGTGTCTGCAGGTTGACAGCAGGTGAGGAGGCCAGAGCCACTGTGCTCCTTGTGGGAAGTCAAAGAGTCGGGATGGGACTCCCTGGTGGCACTTCTTTTTCAATACTGATGTGGATTTTTTTCCAGTGGAAGCAGCAGCAGCTGGTGTGAGCAGTTGGTTCTCCTTTGGAGGCAGGACACAAAGCCAGACGTGCAAAAGGTGGAGGAAGTTCCAGTGCACCCCTGTCTTTAAAAGTTTGGATGTTGAAAAAAACAAGACAAAATAATGAAAATTAAAAACATTTAATGATCGAGTCTTCCGTCTTTGATGGGAGCAAGATACTAAAAATACTTAAAAAACATGATTAGGAATGCAGAGGGAGAAACGGGCTTCAGAGAGCAAATGAAGTTCAAATTTCCTCAAAGTGAACGATGCGTTTCCTCGAAAGAGGATAGAAGATTTCACCCTTGTTCTTGGAAATCCCGGTGAACCTGGGCTGCAGCAGTCGAGCAGGTGGAACAAAAGCAGGAATAGTTTCTGAAAAGGGAAGCATTCATTGTTACAGCACTGGCACTGTGCTTGCATTCCCACGTTGCTTTTCTCTTTTGAACGTCTCTGAGAGCCGACGTGGTGGCGGCCGTGGTTTACGCCCCTCAGGTCTTCTCCAACCTTGGCTCAGTTTTCTGCATCAGTCTCTGAAAGTTGTTCACATGTTGTAGGCCACATAGATGGGGTCAAGTTGGTCTGCTAGGAAGGAGTCCCGCAGATGCATTCTCTGCTTCTCCCCTCTAGAGTTGATGGGGATGACCCCGGGGTCGACAATGACCACCACCCCCACAATGAGGTGGTGCTCCTCCAGGACCACGTTAGTGACCAGCGGCACCAGATCTAAGGCCTCTTGCTCTGAGCCGCTGAGCTCCGCCACCACCACCAGCAGGTTGGTCCACGTAAACACGGCACTGCGAAGGATGCAAGAAAAAAGTTCAGTTTGCTGCTGTTACTAAGAGCTGAGCAGTGTTAGGCACCTGGAAAACCTCACCTCTCTGCGATGCTGCGGTGGGCTCTGGAAACAGATGTCTCAATGTCGATGGGGTGATAACGCAACCCCCTCAACTCCAAGGTCTCATCCAGAGAGCCCACAACAAACAAGGCATCATGGCGATCTGTCAGAAAAAACAAAACAAAACAAAAGTTACTATGTTAGTGTTATTACATAGTTTCCTTTCAAATGGTAACTATCGGTACACCAACATAGGAAACTGATTCACCGCAAAGGCTTTTTAGTTGACTTTTGGCATTAAACTGCAGCTTATAGTTGAATATTTGAAATGGCACAATCACATAAAAAAAACTCATTAAACATTTTATGACAGATAATTCCAAAAAAGTCAAAAACAAACCACTGGACTTTTTTTTGTAATGGGAAGAGGTTAAGGTCGTTGTTGGCCTACAAATCCAACCGATACTAGCATGCCTCTGTAAAGGGAAGTCATTGAGGTCGTTGTCGGCCTGGCTACAGGAACGATGTTTTGACCACCTGCATGGCGATGAGGATGAGGTGATAGTGGGAAGGAACTCACAATCCTCAACTCACAATCCTCGAAAACCTATAACGCAGTTATAGGTTTTCGAGAGCTGAAACCTCCCCCTCTATTTAAGGTTGTTTTTTTGTCTCTCTTAACATAAATGGCTTCCTCCACATCCCTTTCAAACCACCTGTCTTCTTTGTCCAAAATGTGAATATTCTGGTCTTCGTTTGAGGACATCGCGCCTGTAAGCCAGGCCAAAAATGACCCTAACTAGTCCACATTACAAGGGGTGGACTTTTTTTTTTTGGGCTACTCTATAAAGCCTGGTGCTCCACGCTACTCCAGACAATTTGAATTGAGGAAGCTTTCTGGATGGGAAGCAAAACGTTTTCAAACGTGGAAAACAAAAGAAATCCTCTGGTTTGTTTTAAACTTTTTTTTTTTTATTCAATTTCTTCACCAATTTTATCAACTGAGGGGTGTTTACTATATACATGTGTGAATCATTTCAAGCCTCTTTTTGTAATTTCAATGCTTAAATAAATGAATCACATTTACAGCAAGTGTGGTTTAAGGAAACCATTTAGCTTCTGATTACAAAGGAATAAAACAAGCATCTGAAGCAAAGCTGGGATGCTATAAAAACCTGTGCAATAATTTGCTCTGTTTAACGTCTCTTAGCTGTAGGTTGTACACATGAACACAAACAACAGAACATCAATGAATGTGTTTGGCTTTTACCTCCACTCGCATCCAGCAGCTCAGTTCTCTTGATGAAGCCCAGGTATCCCGTCCTGGCCCAGAGAGTCTGCGGATCCCCAAAGCTCAGTTTGGTGTTGAAGTGATCCGCCTGCAGGCTCTCCTCTCCATAAATGGTGTAGTAGCCGCTGGCGCTGTGAGGAGAGTTCACCCAAATCTACAAAAACACAAACGAAGTCATTTTTGAGTTGAATTTTGCATCAATGCTGATAGAAAGAGAGAATAAATAATCCTGGGTGGTTTATAGCATTAGCCAGTTTGGTTACCTTTCCATCAATGAATCTAAAATCACCTTAAGAAAAAAACCAAACCTTCCCTCTAAGACTTTCTGCTAACTTACCTCTCCAAGATGGGAGTCTCCCAGTGGGCCCCTGGTCTCTGGGTTAACTATGATGACTCTGACTCCTGGCAGAATCTTGAGGTAAAAAAAATATATAAGTTTAACTCAAAATACAATCAAAGATCTTTATTTTATTTCTCATCATGTAGAAAAACAAGTGTTGAATAGATCAGTAAACACTTACAGTTCCAGATTCCATCAGTGGAAGACTCTGTGGAGCTCCCTTTTCCACCAGTCTCACCCTACAAACAATAAATATATACATTTATTTAATAAATGTTTGCTCATAGCACAACATTGTGTGACCACTGTTAATGTCTCTGGCTGCAGTCTTTGGTTCTTTGGTCTTACCTGTCGTGACGCAGGGACTTCATATCCACATAAACGGTGGAGGGATCTGGTCCAGAAGTCCCCTAGTTACACAGAAAGGAATATTATTTATGTTTATGTAAAGTTTCAGCTCAGCAGAATAAAAACAAACGCTAGGGTCAAGTTTGGTTATTTGGAAGAAGTTTTATGATAGATACCTGTAAACCGATGGCCAGATTCACCCTAGAGCCAAAAGCGGTGCTGACGGCCCGAGGCGACAGGCCAAGATCTTTGAAGAGCTTGGAAAAGGACTGAGAGAGGGCGAGACGAGGTCGCTCCTCAGCTACGACCACACAGCTCCGCACACACGACAGGTTCAGACCCCGCGCCTGAAAACACACACAGCTGATCATCAGTCAGCTGTAGACTGAGGCTGATGTACGGCAAGCAGCAAACACTTAAAGCCAGGAAAGAACTAAATTAAAGAAAGAGAAATTAACAAAACAACTTCCCATATTAAAACTCTGTACTCAGACCTAAAAAGGTATTTTAAAAAATCATTGTATCAAGCACCAAAACTGCCCACCTGCGAAAATGAAAATAAATTGATAAGCTTCTGTTGTATTCATAATTTAACAGGTAATAGTTTAAAATAATTGTGCTTAAATACATTTTATCAATGAATAAAAAAAGTTATACAAGCAACATTATAAAATTTGCCAACTAGGGAATCTTGACCTTTAACCTTTAGGTTTATCACCTTTAAAAGCGCCTTTGAAGGCAACACTGCAATGTTGCAAAATTAAACCACCTCAGAGTTTTGGAATCCGATAGCATCAGATCAAGAAGTCATGTAGTGTCTAGAAAATTAATACCACTGGATTAAATCTTACATTAGTTAAGTGTCATATAAGTTATACTGTCTAAAAACTTTTAGCTTAGTTAGCTCTGGGTGACATGACTCATTTAGCGACGGACCTAAATGAGTTACAAAGGCGTGTTTTTGAAAAGGAGACAGAGCATCAATATGCAATATGTGCTGTACGTTCACCTGAAAAGTCATTTATTTGGGTCAAGGATTACACAAGGATTACATTTACAATTCATTAACTGAGTTGTAACTCAGTTTAAAAAAATTTTTTTTATTGAACATGTGGCTTATTTTGTCGATGTATTTCTTTGGCCACTAATACATTTTTATGGAGCATTAATATGGTGTCTGTCCTTTGTCTGTACACTTTTAAGACCATGAAAAACTCAAAACAGTCTAGCATATAAAAAAAATGTTATAACGGCTTTAAACTTAAATTTCTTTTTGCACTGAGCATAAAAACACTTTAGCGATTCGTTTTAGGCTTTAAAGAATTGAGCACAAATGTTCCTCCCTCTGTCTAAACCTGTCAACTCATATCCCTGACATTTCATTAATACTTATTAGTAAATATATTGTAAACACATCTAGTGGAGAGCAACCCTGACCTTCAGCATCTCTGTCTGCGTTCCCAGGCCTTTGGTGCACAGCTCCATGACAGAGTAGGAGCAGAAAGTGTCTCTGATCTTGTACTGACTGAGCGTGGTCAGCCACAGAGGCAGCGAGGTCTCCAGCTCCATTGGAGGAATAAGGATAGACTGGTGACCTGAGTAAACACTGAGAAAGACAAAACATTAGACACAGCAGACATAGAACCATTAACTGCAGCCAATTTTATAGAGGAGCAACATATTTTAGTGTTTTGAGGTACCTGGAGAGGCACCAAAGGACAAAGCCCAGGCCGCAGTACGGATCCAGGCAGATGGCTATTTGGCGGGAGGAGTAAAGCTCACACTGCAGCTTAATGGAGCGGCAAAGAGTGCTGACAGCTGCATGAGACATCTAAGGGAGTCACGCACATGAGATTTAGTTCGGTGATCATTATAAAAAGAAATAATCATAAAAACAGTTTATTTAAAGTATTAAAGTAAACATTAGAACATGTTTTGTTATTTCATTGAAACAAGGAGCTAAAAGCCAATCTCCAGAGAGCATCAACTCAGCTCTCATATTCTAATGGACTTTAAGGGGATGTGGTTTGGTTTAATATGGTAGGACCAGGCTTTTTATCATCAGAGGCCAAGTGCTGCAACCACAAGGATTTGATAAATATCCTCTTCAATAAAATGACCAATACGCTGGGTAGATTCAGTTCAAAATATCGACAGGAGTTTAAGATTAGCATAAGACAGGCCTCTTTACTAACTGTTTTTAAGTCTCTTCTTAAGACCAATCTATTTTCTTTGGCTTTTGGCACAATTTGTTTTATTGTGTCTGTTTAATATGCATTTTATATTCTTTCTTTTCTATTTTATAATAGCATTGTATTTTATGATTGTGTACAGCACTTCTGTCCTGTCGGCGTATAAAGTGCTTCAAAAATAATGTTGGCATGGTATGGTATTAGGGTTATTCCATCAGGTCAATGTCTTTTCAAAACGTGAACATAGAATCTATATTTAGATCCACCCTAATGAATTTCGGGCTGCTAAATTAAATTGTTTAATTTAAATGGGAGAAAAAGTGTATAAAAAAAAAAAGGTTTGTGCGACAGTCTGGATTCAAACCTACAAGTTATAAGACTTAGGTTATTTTACTTATTTGCAACCCTTAAACTTAAATTCGTCCTTGTTGACATTTTGCTTAAAAATAGGATTATGCTCTTTGTGAAAAACTGAGATATTAGCCAAACTTTTCCTTCAACTAAAGGTTATTGTAAGGAGATTTGCATTTACTTCACCTTGACTCCAGTCAGCATGCCGGTGGTGGACACACTGAAGTCCAGGTAGGCCAGCATCTCAGCTGTAGGAGGTTTGTAGATTTGTGGAGGCCGCTTTCTGGGAAGATCATCTGGCAGGAGGGGCAATAAGATCTTATAAACTCCTTTATTCTTTACATTATTTTCACATTTTTTCTGTTTCCTCTGTAATCAGTCGTTTAAAACATTTATGTTAAAATCTAACTAGACTAAAATCAACGTTGCTTTGTTCTTCAGACACTGATCTCCTTCAGATTACAAATAACATGTTCTATGGATGTAAAGAAGAAAACAAGGACATCTAGTGGCAGAAGAAATAAATCAAGCCTCTGCATTCAGAGCTGCTTGATTAAAAAAAATAAATCACAGGGTAAACATAAATTAATAAAACAGCTCCATGCCAACTGCCTATAGCCTTAAAGCAGTCCTAGCTTGAATGTGTAGATGTTCTGCACCTGTGTCGATGATAGTTGGCCATGTTTTGACATTAACGCTTGCTGCAGCCTCCCTGGACCTGAGGATCCTCATGAGAGGCTGAGTGGTGAGGATGCAGGCAGCTTTGCTCACCTGAGGAGGACAAAAACAAGAAAGGATGAATAAATAGGAGATTGTGTGGTGCCGAATGCGGTCTCCATTCAAAGACAGAGCAGAGCTGACTTCAAATGACTTTTTTTTTTTTTTTTTTCCAAATATCTGCCATATGGACTGCACTCACATCAATGATCATGCGGACTGTGGGGAGAGTAGCAGCCAGGTTCTGGGGGTGAGGCGGCCTTACTGTCACAGGGATCATCCCTGCGTAGAGGCAGCCATAGAAGGCAGCAATCAGGTCAATGCCTGCAACAAAGAAACAATATGTGAGCTAAAACCCTTTTAAACACAAAAACCTGAACATTTCATCTTCAAACAGGTGAAAAAAAGAAGGTAACTTTCAAAATAATGTGCATCGTTTGAGTCTAACCTGGGGGATAAAGCAGCACCACGTTGTCGCCTGTGTTGAGGCCCCCTTTTTCATATAGAGTGGCAGTGATTTTCTCTGCTCTCTTGTGTAGCTGTGCACATGTTGCTGTGCACACCGGTACACCCTGCAGCAGGAAATGGTGAAGATCAAAAATGACTACTGTGCACCTTAACAAAAAGCCATCTTAACACTAAATATTCCATGCGTTCGGACACTGTAGCTCTTGTTACCGGAAGAATTCAGTCTGTGTGTGAAGCTGTAATCTACCTTGGAGTTGAGCAGCACATAGAGAACATGCTCAGGGTCAGTTTGGGCTCTCCACTGCAGAGATTCTGACAGGAATTGGTGCTATAAAGAAATCAAAGAGAATTAATCATTAAACAAACAAGTGTGTCTAAAACAAGTTGCATTGCTAGAGAAAATAATCAATAAGGCTAAACATGTAAACAGATCAACAGCCCCTTACAAAAGTATTCAAACCCCTTGATTTTTTTCCACTTTAAGCCACGAATGTTGATGAATTTAATTAGAATTTCTATGCGAGAACGGCACGCTGTGAAAGTGTGAAAGGAAAATCTTTTTATAAAACAAATAACTATCTGAAAAGTGTGGCATGCGTTTCCATTCTGCCTAATTTATACTTTGTTGAATCGGCTCTGGGGTCAAATGTATGTCTCTATAAGCATTGAATATGGAATATTTGCCCATCATTTGCAAAATAGCTTCATTTCTGCCGGATATTTACGTGGTCCTCAAGTCCCTGGGACATGGCCATTCTATCAAGAATATCTATGCTCTGAGTTTTCTTCCATGTACCAAGCGTTCGATCAGCTTAAATAATTTAAGCATGTTCCGGACTGGCTAATTTTTCAGAATTGCTTTAGTAGTAGAAGAAGAAACTGCCTGTTTGTAAACAAACCCCCACTAATCTGCTCATCCTCAACTTAAGCTACTCTTTGTCCCTGCCCTCGCTTCTCTTTTTCTTCAGTTCTTCTGTCATGTCTGTTGATGTAGTTATTTCCACTATGGACGCTCGTGACATCTTTTTATCCATACTTTTATTTTTTGTGGTCATTGTAAGTTAAAGGCTCAGCAGTACCTCATGGTAATGCTCCTTTGATACAGTAGCAAAGGGCAGGATGGCATGTTCATCTGCATAAAAAGCGATTTAAAAAAAATTAATTTCCACTGTCTTTACAGTTGTGATGAACTCCAGGTGCTTTATGAACTTGCTGTTGAATTTTTAAATAATGCTAGTTTTAACTCAAGAATCTATCGAATTTAAATATTTGGATGTTCAAATTTGGAAATTATTTATTCGAAATCATGAGAACTGAAATCAAATAGATTCTTAAGTTTGTGGTTACAATGCGACAAAATGGGAAAATGTAAAGTGCATGAGTCTAAAAAGTGATACTCTTGAACAATAGCCAGTTATTTTCATGATGGATATGGTCATTTAAAACTCATTCTTAAAAAATGAGAAGCACCTAAATATAATAAAGATATATACGGTTCTCCAGTTTAGTTAAAAAATTCACCTAGATAGGAACAAAACACGATTATGGGAATAACCAGACTGCTGGTTATCAATGTAAGGGTCACACTGGGACCACTTAAAAAAGATTTCAAAATACTAAGCTACGAGGCTCCAAAAAGGGCAGAATAAAAAAATGTAATGTATTTTTTTTCTCCAAGACAACCACCTAAAATCAAATCTCCTCAGTGTCTTTTTGGTTAAAATATTGTTTCTCAGAGTGGGCAAGAACATCAAAACCAACTCCCTTACAAACAAAGGACAGGAGACCATATGGCCACACATAAAAACAAATATAAAAACTAAAGATCTCTGGACATACACACATGTAGCAGAGCTACTGCGTCATTAGTCGGCGTTCTCCCGACACCCACTCAGTCAGACAACATGTCGTGCTCTGAATCAGGAGGGACGTCATGCAGGCTGCTTGCTCTGACCAATAATGAAGCCATGCTGCACGTAGGAGCATCACACAGAGAACAGCGAGCAGAGGTACTCAGCGGTACCCGCAAAACAAAAAGTGGTCCTTTTTGAGCACAAAGACCAGCAGTAACTCATTAAAACTGTGAATGTTCTATTTCTAAAAATTTATCAATTTGAGGGGAAACTTTTGAAGTCCTTCATTGTGATAGAATAAGTCTGGATTCGTGTTAAATGGGAAGCCAGCCACTGAAGACAGCTTGGCTGTGTAAAGCTGTTACCAGAGAGAGAGAGAGGTGGTGGGGGTCAGGGTTTTCACAGCTGCAGAAGCACAGAGGACTGGCAGAAGCAGCAGAAGCAGAGACGGACAAGGGTTGGGGGTTAGACTAGCACCTTACCATCATGGTAGGCCACATATAGAGCTGTAGCCCAGCAAAACAACAGCACAGGTGGAGGATAAGTCATCAGAAACCAATTTCCAAAACAAACACTTGGACAATATATTCAGAGCTGTGAATATTCTGTTATCCTAGTCAAGGTCAAGCTTAAAAAAGCAGTCAAGGCAAGTGGATGTGAAATTTTCTAGTAGACGTTTCATCCAAGAGGCTGCTTCAGTTCTAACTAGTGCTGGGGAGCACTGAGATTAATATACTGTATGTGCAACAAAGAATTAGGGGGATACGACAAAAGGTGGCTCAGATCCCTCTTACTGGATTTGGCAAGGAGGTCACCAGGAGGATGTTAATGGTCGTTAGAGGGCTCTGATGGGTCGTTAACGCCCTCGTCAGAGAGGTTTCTCTCACATGCCTCACTGAAGTGTGAGTCAGGTGGGAGTGGGCGAGGGGTCAATCTTTTGGGTATTGTTCCTAAAAATGCTTTGTAGGTGGGTGAAAGGTTATGTCTAAGGCCAACTCCTCGGTTGAGAAATGTTTTTTCCAGATTCACAAAGATGGCTCCCTTAACCCCCCCAATCAAACTATCTTTCTTCCTTTTCAAGAATATAGATGTTGTTTTCCTCAAACGAGTGTCCTTTAGCCTTCGGGTGTAGGTGAACCACCCAGTCCCATCCTGAAGAGCTGGCCCTCTTTTGTTGAGCCCTGCGCCTGTGTGGCGGTTGCTTGTGCGCTCTTCACTACACTGAACTGCGTATACCACATTGTTGGTCTTTTTTCAGGATGTCTTGTCTTATGGGTGAACCAGTTTTTTTTTTCAGGGTGTTGGTGGGTTTGAATTGCACAGGGATCAGGTGCAGGTTGAAAATCCTGAATGACAATGTTCCTTCTGTTTTTTTCCCTCTTGGATGAGAGTTGAAACTTCTTCTAGAAAACTTCACATTCAGTTGCCTTAACTGATCTTTGTCAAGCTATATTCACAGCAAGTTATGCTTGCTAAGTTAAGTTTGCAAGTTATGGGTCATTGTTATTTAAATGCACGTGGATCCAATTTGGTTTAAGATATACTCAAAAATGGCTGAATTTCCATGATGCTGCATCCGACTATATGAACACAAAGATCATTAAAAAGTGTGGGTGAAACAGTGACTAACAATATAAAAATATATAGTTAGGGGTGATAATATGCAACTGGACATAGGATATTTACTGTGTAGGGGAATCTGGGGGTATCCTTCCCCAGAAATATTTTACATTTAGACAATGAAACGCCAATTCCTGCATTTTGAGGGCGAATGCAGCTAACTCTTTGTCTTTGCTACAACACTACTTTTGTCCTGATTATGGGAAGTATGTGTGCTTGGCTAGAGGTGGAAACTTCATAAGGGAGACAGAACATTTTTAGGTACAATATTATGTTTCATAGGTTAAATCAATAAATCAGAGAGTGTAATGCTACGTTCACACTGCACACGCTTTGAGCATCAAAGAAGCGTCTACTTCGTCTGCTTCATTTTTTATGCTTGTACACATTAAACCCAGATGTGTGAAAAGATGCGTCTGATGCTTCTGTGCTCAATGGCAGAGAGGGGCTTTGCTATATTTGCTGTGAGAAGTTGGTAAAAAGTAGTGGTTAGTAAAACTTTGCACTACAACTCTTGAACAGGACCCCCTCAGTTTTCTTTCAAGGGCTGTTTCTGAATCCAACCTAGTCGCAGCATTCATTGCGAGGGAATTTTTACAGCACTGCAGCTGCACTGTATTCAGTGTGAACAGAATAACTACGTGTGACTGAATGTGCCCTGATTTATAAAGTGGGATACAGATATAATGGAAATATATAATTTTCAACTGACTCTCTGAAACTGCTACACTAAAATAATTAGCTAATTATCCCACATCTTAAATCACTTATTCATGTTGAAATGCCTGTGGCTGGGAAAACTATCTTTGTTGACATTAGATGAATGCAGTGTGGATTCAGGCGATGAAGAAAACATTAACAAAGGTTAACATGTGTTTAGCCACATTCTTATGGCAGTAAATTAGTTATTCTAGTTTTGTTTTTGATAAGCATCTGTTAACAGATCCAATTGTGAAAAGCTACCTTTCGAATGAGGTCTTGATCATCCACCACACCCAGCTCTCTGCCTGTGGCCGGAGCAATCCGCTTCCCTGCAACCAGGTTGCCAACAAGCATAGAGGCAGGACCAACATCCACTATGAAGACCAGAGACATGAGTGGAAAAAACAAGTCAAAACAAAAAAAGCACCCCCTTCTATTATTTAAAATTTTAGAATAGAAACCATCTAAACATCTTAAATTGATCAAATTTGAACCTTAAGAAAATAATGGTCGCAGAACTGCTGTACAGGGTAAGATGAGGAACATTACTATGCCCATGCTATTATTATTCTCTACTTGCAACAGATTCAGACGATGACCTCACCTGGCTGTTTCTGTCGTGGCTTGGGCATGTTTGTTACGCACGTATGCGGGCACATGAGGATGTTGCAGGGATGCAGGTTTCCATCCAGAAAACTCTGCTTGGTTTCACAAATGTGGATGCCTCCTAATGGCGTCTTTGGGAGCGTGTTGGCTGGCACAAGAGCGAGGCAGTAAAGGCCAACCTGGTGGATACTGTCGATTGCCTTAAGAGAAAATATGCAAAAAATCATGTAGACTTGACACATGTTTTGTTGGCCAGCTCTTCACAGGGCTGGTTAACAAAATAAAAAATAAATAAATAAAAATAAATGCACCCGAGGAAAAAGTGGTACAGTCTTTCACCATTTTAATATGTAGTGTAGTTCACGAGAGGTGTATATGACTTTGGGGGAGCTTAACCAAAAAAAGATGCTGTTTTTACATGATATGATCAACTGAATGATGCAGAACATTAAAACATAAACTTCAGCTCCTTTTTTTTTGCAGAAGAGTGCACGAGCATCTTTCAAAGGTGAGACCGTGGTACTGTGATTGTGCATATGTTTGCTCAGGCATGTGTGGGCTCAGTTAGGTCACATCATTTGCCTTTGCATCACAAACGTGCATCACACTTCTCTCCTTTCCAAAAAGCAGAAGGCTCATGTTATAACCATCAATACATGTTTATGTTACCAAAGCGTGTCTAATACTAGTCCTGCTTACAGCAAGGATAAAACTGGCTGTAACTTTGGAGGAGCAGCATACAGGTGGATAATCCAAAAGCATTCCCAGCTTTTAATCCTCCTGTTCACTGAACAAGTTGATGTGCCTCCAATCTGTGTTGTTCAGCTGGAAATGCAAATTGTTGGAACTAAACTCTGCAGGATTTT